TTAACCTTGACAGTGATGTTATGGCGTCAACAGTCAGGAAGCCGCAGAAATCTGTCTGTCTTCCTGACTTCAGCAAGTCCAACAAATCAAAGTGACCTAAACCTCACTGTCATTTGGGAGCTTATGCATTTGTATACTTTTTAAAGCAATATGAGGAGAGCACATAATACGAGGAAAGCACTGTTCTAGGTTTTGTTGGGAGGGTTCTAGAGAGGAGTAGAGTCGGTGCCTATAACATATGGACAACATAATTGGAGAGACACGCTTGTGTGCAAATATTGGAAGGGAAGGTCACGTTGGAACACTAGTAGTCAGATGAATAAAGCATCCACTTTTCACATCCTTCTCCCATGGTTGTGATCTGTTTTGACTTTCCCCATAGATCTGAGAGTAGAAGAACAGGACTGATGAAGAAATTTCTTTTAAATACTGTCCCCGACATGGCAGAATATCTTTTGTTGCTGAACAGCAAATATCTACGTAAAGTCTCTACAAGTAGAGTCGAATGTGTTTTAATAAACCCGGGTAAAATACTATGTTCTCTAAATGCCTTGCTCCATGTCCCATGGGTTCTCCTTCACGCATCTTGGTGGTACTTGCACTAATGAAGCTGGCCAATATTGATTGCTTAGTGGGTGTCATTATATCATCAACTCTTCACCACAACTTTCTGGGGGAGATACAATTATGCCCCTTTATAGCTGAGAACATGGAGACTTAGAAAGGTGAAACAATTTGCTCAAAGTCTCACAGCTACCAAGTCACAGATTTTGGGTTCAAGCCTACACCTTAGCTTCAAAGCCCATGTTTTTTGTTTTTTGGGCTTTTTAAAAAATTTTTTTTCAGTAACAGTTGACATTCAGTATTATTTTATATTAGTTTCAGGTGTACAGCATAGTAGTTAGACATTGATATAATCTATGCAGTGATCCCCCCAAATAGTCTGATACCCACCTGTCACTATGCATAGTTCTTGCAACATTATTGACTACATTTCCTATGCCATACTTACATCCCCATGACTATTTTGTAACTCCCAATTTGTATTTCTTAATCTTTTCACGTTTTTCACCCCCAACACGCCTCCCCTCTGGCAACCATCAGTTTATTCTCTGTATCTATAAGTCTGTTTCTGTTTTTCTATGTTTGTTTATTTTGTTCTTTAGATTCCACAGGTAAGTGAGATCATATGGTATTTGTCTTTCTCTGATTTATTTCACTTAGCATAATACCTTCTAGATCTGTCCATGTTGCTGCAAATGGTGACATTTCTTTTTTTTTTATGTCGAAGTGTATGTTTTTAACTTCCATTCACTACTGAAAGTAATCCTTCCTTGGGTGTGATGTAATCCAGTACCTGTACACACCTCTTTGATAAGTATTAGACAACTTTACGAAGAAACTACTGTCTGTATTGGGAAAGCCTTAATTTTTAGGTATTCATGTGCAGTTCAAACGACTACCAAAAATAAAGCAGCTCTTTGCTTTAAACATATTAAACAAGTTAATCATATTTTTCCATCAGTCATTTAAGTAATAAATGCTTATTCTCACTTATTTCTCTACCTCTGCTTTTCATTCTAGTAAAATGAACTCAGCTTAGATGCTTCTATTTTCTGTTTTATATGTCAGAATTTTGAGGCCTAAAATGTGACAAGTCATTTTTCTGCTGCTCCTGTGTGGGGAGATTTGCTGAAAAAAAGAGCTGATAATGCAACAGGCCTCAAAGCTGAGGTGGAGCAGAGAAATGTTAGAAGGAGAAATCTGTGTCCATGCCCTTCTTCAGAAAGGAAAATTAGGAGCCCAAAATACTAGTTCCTACTCACAGATTCTTTGAGACTGAAGACAAGACCCTCCCCTTGATTTGTCAATTATGAAGTATGGACAAGAACTCAGAGGTACCTTAAAGCCAGGTAGTGATGTTGCTGACCAGACCTGGAAGTAAGTGCACTGAGGAATGACGAAAGGTTCTACCCCTCCTAGAGATCTGGGAGTTTGGATGCCTGTGACCCCAGCTGCCCAAATGAGAAGAAAGTAAGTGTGGTTGCCATGATAGGCAGCATTCACAGTCAGCCTATGGGCTGATCTCAAACCACTGGGTCCTGGAATTTTTTTCTTAGGCTTTGTGGGCTTCTTAGAGAAATGTTATAGAGAAGAGGCACCAGGGGTACCCAGGATGATATTCAATGGTGACTCACTCCTATTCTGATTTTGGCTCAGATGATATAATGGGCATTACTAGAGCGTATTCAATACCACTTTCTTGAACTTCCTCACTTCCTCCCTCCTATCCCAAACAAATTCAGCTTGGTTTAGGACCAGTCTGAATCCTCATGCAATGATGCTAAAGGTGCCTTGCTTGCTCTCCATGGAGAGTGTGTGACTGGAGGCCATGGCTCCATGGAGGTGAATTTTCACTCATGCCTCTCAGGTCACAGTGGCTGAGGCCGCTTTCCATTAGCATCCATGGGCTGTAGGACACCAGCCAGGTGCATGATGTGTTCCTACTTATGCATGCATGCTATGTTCATGCTACTCGCATGTCACACCCCTCTTCCTGCAGCCCTTTGAAGTCTTGGTTCAGGAAGAGAGTTCCAGCTCGAAGCTGCTGCCCTTGACCACTCGAAAGCACTGGAGAGCTGAGTTCATTGCCTCCCCATCCCATTGCAGTCAGTGTTAAAGCCCGCGTTCCAGCAGACTGGTTTCTTTCACAGTCTTCTCTGCCTTCTCTTTAGTAAGCAACACCCACAGTTCTCTTCGCTGGACAGATATTGTTCCCTTGCCCTCCTTCTTCACTGTGTTTCATGTTGCTACCTCACCTATTGTTATTCAGCTTTTTACTCTTTTTCCTTCTCTTCCACCATCTTTAGCCTCGTTTTTGGTGTGGTCTGTCCAGTTCTTGACCCTCTGTCCCATTCACCAGCCAAGAAAGCAACTACAAAACAATCCAGACATTTTCACAGCAATAAGAATGTGGGCGCTTTGTCAGATACGAACAGCTTTAATTTTGGCTATGTAAAAACAAAATAATTAAACAATATGATTGTATTTATTTATACCTGGTTCCACAAGAGACAAGGTGAAGAATAATCACATCTGCCACAAGCCAATGTTTGGCAATTTGGGATTAATACATGAAAACAGGTGTATGCATACAGAGAGGTTGCATCTAAAAAGATTCATAAAAATGCAACGGTGCATTTTCGCTGTGTAGAATATGGTTTACACCCAACTTTGCAAACACAGAGCCACCCACACTCTGTTTCCTGAGCAAATAAAAGAGAATGCCAACTGCTTATTCTATGGCTGTACCTCAGAGAAAGAGTAGAGGTTAGAAAAAAATTAGTTGTAATTTATCAACTTACTGCAAGTCTACACACACACACACATACACACACACACACATACACACACACACACACACACACAAATGCATTATATGATGTATAAAGCCACCATACACACGTTCAATATTTTTGAAGGTATTTAGATCATTTAAGAATTCCAAACTTGTACAATATCATATATATAATAGACTACTGTTCTTAAAATACCAGAAAGAATTATATTCCCCTGAAGGCAATCCCCAGAAGTCATTTTAAAAAACTTTCTTGCTATTTACACAAAATTCAATTTCTTATTGAAGCACTTGCACCCTTTGTCATGCATCTAACAAAATACAGAATAGGTGGGTTTTTGCAGAAACAAAAAAATGAGGTGATTTCTCTTCCCAAGGCATAATTTTGTACTGGTGCATTAAAATAGCTTTAGGTAAAATTTTAGGCACATGAAAAAAAATACAGAAACTGTGTATAATATAAATATATAATAGAAGATTTATTATTGTGTTTTTAGCTAGATCCTTCATCTTGCACACCAAGCCCATCAATTATTAGTTGGTGTAGAGTTTCTATCGCCCCTCAAGTGAATGAGCCATGGAAGCACTCTGCAAAATCACAGGAATATCTCTTGAGTCTAATTAATTTCTTGAAGTTTACTGGAAGATTGTTGTTTCGATAAGAAAAAAGTATTTTTTTCTGCTCACAGTGTTGCTTAAAACACTCTGGAATTTTCAGATGAACAAGAATAAAGTTTGTATTTTAGAATTGAAGTTAAAAAAAAAAACCAAAAAAACAGAAGTGGTGCATTCCCACCTCCTCTCTCCCCGCACCCAACCCAAACTGCACCTCCCACCAGCTGACTCAGAACAGCTTGGTTTCTGCCAGTGGTTTCCATTACAGCTACATCCTTTGGTGGCCTGGTCACCGCCTGCCTCCTGCAGTCTACAAGCAGCAGACGATGCCTCGATCTGGGAGTGTGGCTGCTTTGTCACCTGTCTGAGCCAGGTGGTCTCTTCCCTGGGAAAATGCCTCCTTCTTCCTCCCAGAGCACTCTGCACCTTTCACAACTCCTACCACTATGCTGCACCCATAGTGTTGAGTGCTTTTTGTCTAAAATGCAAGATAAAAATTTAAAGTGAAGTTTAGAACCTAGTTTTTCATTTTGGGTTTCCCCAGGTAGCCTTCCTTACTCTTTAGGAAGTGGTTCTAGTGCATATGAGCTGTGAAACGAACCTCTGGGACTGCTGCTCCAAGGCAAGAATCCAGTGTCTACAAGCCTCAGTGGGCCCAGACTTTGTCCTCATTCATCCCTTTCTCTTGGAGTGTCACCTCTACAAAAATGACAGGGCCAGGCTGGCCCTGGTGTGAAGTTATCTTTGCCACGTATTCTGTGTCATCAGATGTTGAAATCACTGTGTCCTATTCTGTAATGCAGGGCACATCCTACCCCCAGAGGAATAATATATTTTAAGTGATTTTTCAAAAATGGGTCGTGAAAGCTGTCTGCCACATGGCCCGTGTTTGCACATCTCTATATAGTTAACGATTGCAGAATTTGACAGTATAACTCTGAATCTGATTAATTAAGAATGTGTAAAAACAAAGTTCTTGCATTACAGCTCGTTCCTTATCTTTGTGTCTTTTACTGTGATGTTGTAGAACTTGGATCATATGGAAAGCTAAAATATTATGACACAATGACTGAAGAAGGTAAGAATGATTTTAGAATTGTATGCATTGGCTTTTTTTCATTTGTGGTGTCTGTTGCTTGCCCATTTTTTTTTTAATCTTTTTTTTCCTCTTTGCATGACTTCAGTGACATTGTGTGATTTGTTGTTCTTTCTGTATTTTTGTCTAGTTTTTGCCATCGTGTTAATTTGGAATTGGAGACGTGCAATACCATGGGTAATCATGTTATTCCATTCAAACGATCCAAACCATCTCAGTTGTGTAACACACTCAGAGAAATGGTGTCAGCAATGTATACACGAGCACACACAGCACTGTTGTCTCCACATGCCAGAACAACATAACGAAACACATCCAACCAACACTCATCTTATAATATGCCCTTCTTGCAGAGGTGGGGGAGGGAGGGTATGTTCTGGTGACATTCTGACTGATGCAAAGGAATGAGCGATCTGAAGTTACTTCTAGACCCCAAACCAGCTAGAGACCAGTTTCTGCTGCAGAGGTCTGTAGGCTCACGTCCTTAGTTCCCACAGTCCCTGTTGACTCATCTAAGAACGTTACTCTGAGAGGCCGGGGTCACCATTCCAGCCAGTAGAATTGTATATATTGGGGTTCATGCTCTGTGAGATTGGGCATATTATTTTAAACATTCCCCTTAGTAAATGAAGCCTGGCAGAGATTTAGTTTAAAATGTATTGACTAATGAATTCCAGGCACTATCCCAGAGCACAACCTTGCCCCAGTCAGAATCACTTTTGTGAAATAAGTTCACCCTGCAACAGAATTTGAAATGTTTGCGTTCTTGTAAAGGGAGTTGTCCTATTGCCCTATCCCCCATCTCACCCCTCACAAACCTCCACCTTTTGAATAATAAATAATATTTGTAAATTATGAAAACATTTGGGGTTTTTACATGATGTTCACACTGATAATGGGAAGAAATCAAAAGGTACCCTAGAAGGCAAATCAGCTAATTTTATCCTTTAACATCAGCGATACTCCCAAATGTGTTGCATATCTTTTTTTCAGCTCCTCGTATTTCTAAGTTAGTGTGCCAAAGTTCTCCTAGTCGCTTTGCATGCAAGAGGCAGAGCATCTGACAGCCTTGGTAAGAGGAAGACCCTTCTCAGCCCCCGCCCACTCTGACTGCACAACACCCAGGCCTTCTCTGCTGCTATCCCCGTGCTTTCACTTAGCCACTGCGATGTCTCCTAAAGCAGCAGGCTCCAGGATTAGGATCTCAGACTTGGCCCTATTGTAGCCCAGGACTTGGGGAAATGCATTGAGCGCCCCAAGGGCAGAAAGCTACCTACGGGTGTAAGTGTCCCCCCACGGAGAGGATAGAAAGAGCAACAAAGGAGGCCTCTGTCCCCGCTGGTCTTTTTTATTCCATGTCTTCAGACCACTTGAGTTTTATTGGTGAAACCAAAGAAACCAAAGCTTGGGACTCACCGACGTTATAATTTGGTCACTCCTTTCGGCGTCTCCCTAGCCTCAGCCTCGGTTTCATGGCTCAGGTGGCAGGTGGGTTTCTTAGCTTCTACCTGACCTGTCACAACGCTTCACTTTCTTTACTCCATCCTGTCCTTTCTCTTCCACCCTTAGCTTCCCATTGACAAGGCAGCTTCTGCCTCCCTGTTGCCTCAGTTGCCCTATTTCTTCCTTTCACATCCATTTGAGCAAGTGTTGCCATCCAAGTGCTCCCTTTCTTTTCCTCCCTTCACTAGACAGTTCAAGGTCACAAATTGGAAGTGGTAAAAATGCTACTTCCAGTTTGATGATTGTACTTGATAACGGCTGGGCTTTGTAGGCAGGAAAACAAAGTCAAATACTATCTGCAATGAGAACCATGGCTGGCCTTAGCGAGACTGTGAAATTGTGTTTGGGGGCCCTCACTGGTCACCTTAAACATTTCTTGGCCTGCTCTTAACTTTCCTATCCCTTCATGTATATCCTTTTGTGCCCTTTTCTTACCTGAACATCTATCCCCATTACAGTGATAACTAATAGTAACTAAGGCAGCATTTTTAAAGTGTGTTCTATGAGCTCCTAGTTTCATATGATGTTACTAGGAATTTTGTAACAACCCAGAAAAAAAAAGAAAGCAAGATTGAGATCATACTTAAATAAGTGGGAGAGCTTCTAAGTTAAGTTAAATCGGTTTCTTTACCATATGACTTGGAGCCTTCAGTATGCTGCTGTGTGCTGCAGCATATAGTAAATTGTAAAGAGAGATAGAGTTTGCAATATTTCCCCGATTTCTTTGATCAGAGAACCCATTCTTCCATGGAGTCTTTTGTGGAACTGTTTTGTAAATGCTGATTAAGGTGTTATCTGTCACCTGCAATAGGAACCTCTGAAAGATTAGCCTTCTGAATACATAGCAATCCCTCTCAGATACTCATAGAAAGGATATTTTGGAACAGGAGATCTCCATCTGGCGACATCAAATCACACCCTGGCAGCTGCCTCTGTAACAAGCCAGGCCTGGCTTAAACCTAATTCTGGGATTCCATCTAAAAGACTCCATACCAGCTCAGTAATCACAGACCTGGCAGCAGCCATGTGTGACTTCTTCAAACTCTCAAGGGCCTCTCCCCTTCCATTGAAAATAGTAATAATAACTGCGACTTATGTCACTTCCATTTGTACAGTTTAAGGAAGCATAATTAGATGAAGTATAATAAGATGAAGGTGCTTGGGGCAATAGCGGACTAGCTAGCCTTCAGGAAATACCCCCCTCCATTTAAGCATTTCTTTTCAAATTTTTAGAAATGTGACTAGCCCTTGAGCAGAGCTTTATTGTAATCGTGACTAGTCACAATTTGTAATTATTTCCAGGAAATTTTCTGGACATTGTGTGATGTCAGCTGCTTACCATGAGGCCTATTTTTTTTCCTCCTAAAATGGATAAAATGGAAAGACTGATTATATATGCCACCTTCATCCTAAGAAAAATTGATGATTTCCTAAATATATAAAAATTGTCCTGCACAAATTCAGTTTGTTATTTTAGCACCTACTATATGTAACTTATTCTGCTAGGTACTTTGGGGAAACTCTAGGCTAAACGGTGGGCAATCTTCCCCCATGGAACTTATAGACAGAGAGAGAAATAAAACACAGCATTCACTGAGCCACCAGGAAGAAAGGGGGCAAAGTATTCAGAAAAAGGTGACAGACTATAGGAGAAGGAAAGGTTACTTTCAACCAGGGGGAAGATTTTGTGGAGAAAGTGCTCTTCGAACTGGGCCCCAAAGCATCAGTAAATGTGAGCTTAAGGAAGAAGTGGTAAATTCCAAACTGCCAGGCTGAGAGAGGGATGAAAGGATGGGGCACACCAGCCTTTCCTGGGTGCCTCCCACCTGTCAGGTGCAGTGCTGTGGGCTTTATATAGTTCATGTCATTTAATCCTCATAATGATCCCACAAAGAAGATTTTATTGAAGATGAGAAAGCCTAAGCTCAAAGAAGTATTTTATTAAGATGAGGAAACTAAGACTGAGAGAAGCAAAGTAGTTTGCTCTGGGATGCACGGACAGTAAGTTGGGATGTAGGACGTGAACCCAGGACTGTGGCACAGCCAGGCCCTGCCCTCTGGGCTCCACTGTTGTTTGCTGTAAAGGTGGTATGAGGAACTGGACAGTTCAAATTGGCTACAGTATAGGGAGTGGGGAACAGGCTTGATGGAGACCAGATCATGGGAAAGGTTTGAGCCACAGAATAAAAATAAGGGCATCATAGAGTAACCAATGAGCTACTGAATAAAACACAAACTCCTACTTGAACATGTTACCGTGAAGAGTTTATTGTAATAAAACAATGTACTCACTCTTGGACCCTGAACAACCATGACATGTTTGCAAAATTTGTTCTTGCACTTAGGGCCCTTTCCCTCCCTCCCTTGTACTGGTGCCCTAGATCCTAAACTGGAGCAGCTCCCTGGGCCACACCCAACGTCCTCTCCCACCCCAAGCCAATCAGAATTTGATCCACTCATTCATTCATTCACTCATTCCCTAATACTGACAGTATCCAACAACATTCAGTATGTACCAGGCACTAGCCTGGGCGCAGGGAGATCAAAGATAATCCTTCTCCTAAAGAACTCACACTCTCGTGGGGGACATAGGCAGAGAGATGCGCAGTGGGATGGGCAGACCTGAGGTCTGGGGGAGCCAGGGGAAGGCATCTGTTTGAGCCTTGCAAAATGAGGGCAGGCTTCTCAGAAGAGACAATGGCTCCACTGCCTCATTCCTGCTTCCCAAGAGGACAACTAGCGTACCGACCATCTGATACTAATGTGTTCACTTAACAGTCACTGAGCACTTGCTCTGTATGAGCCATTTTACTAGATTGGATAGACTAGTGGGCTTCACTCCTCCCAAGGACTGTATTTGCTTCTGCAACAAGGTGTTTCCAGAGATGCAAACAAGTTACTCTAGAAGTAGTCTTTTGGTGACCTCAGCTCCCCCAATGTGGGCAGCCCTCCCTTTATCTCCTCATGGGGTGATACTGCCTATTCTTGGAAGAACAATCTCCAGCTTTACTTAAAGTTAATAACCCATAGTTTATTTCTCATCTGCAGAAACCAGATTTCATACCATTGTCACTCTAGAAAATTCTCAGTAAATAGAACTTGGCTTCCTTACCAAAATCACTCTAAAAGAAAATATAGAGAGCTTGTTCAAAAGAAAACAAACTTAAGCAATATAATAGATGAATTAAAAGGAGAAGGTACCTTTTCTCCAGGTATTATACAAAAACTACTAATTTTTGCTCTTTGGAGATCAATATTCGTAGAAACATATAAGTAGGTAAGTAGATAGAGATTCTCACTAATATCTTGCTAAAAAGTGAGGTATGGGGAAGGCTGCCTACAATGCATTGTCCTAACCTCATTGCTACTTAGAAGCCATTCCAGAAAAATAATTTCTCCACTATTTAAAAAGTAAAGTTTTGTTCATTCGTATAAGAAAAAACATATATAAAAAGTTGTTGTAATACTAAGGGCAAAAA